CCATCACAATCTCAAACTTCACCACACCCCAAGTCATACGTAATTTCATACACAATTCACTAGTTCATCATAAACTCCAAGTTGTAAAGGACGGTGGCAGGGAGAGTGACAAATTTTGGTCCCTAGATTTGGTAGGGCCAGCCTGAGGCATGTTACCGGATATTGCAAATGCAAACAAAGAATCTTTTAAGATATACATAGATATTTGATAAAAATGAATACAAATTTACTTTATTAATTCATTTATATAATGAGAATATTTTAGCACATTGAAGAATAAGGGCTAGGCTAGGAGATCAAATATTAAAACAGACTGATATATTTCAATTTTGGACCTCAAACATTACTTCCACTGAGAATTGAAATATAAATAGTAAATAATGCCTATCTCTTTACATATTTTCAAATTTGATTTAAAAAAAAAAAAGATAAAAAAGAACTTGTATTAAAAAAAAAAAACACCTGACCAGAAGGATCACTTGAATCTTTACAATTAATTTCATTAATAAGTCAACTAATTCTGAACAATATTTGCATATAATATACTGGTTTACACAGATATCGATATGTGCCACACACAACCAAGTACAAATTCAAATTAATTCTCAAATAAGTAAAAACCCTCACAAAGACTTCAAAATGAAAACTGGACCTTTATGACTAGGCTTAATTCATCTTTTCCCATTAAAATCATTTATTATTTTAAAAATTAAACTCACTTTGTTTCTTCAGAAAAGCTAGGGTGTACTTTTATGATCTTAAAGTTATATGAATGAAAATCGAATACACTGAAGATGCCAAAAGCCAAAATGCTTGCCTGAGACATTTTGTGTCTACTGTTCTTAAAAAGATTGTTTTTAAAGATTTTCCCCCTCCATATTCCCATCAAAAATGTTGACACTTCTATACACGTACAATTTAAACCCTAATTTCAGTCCGTTTCTAACCCCAATGCCCATAAATTAAACAAATTTAAATGTTGACACATAGATACATGCAAAATGAAAACCTTACTTTTAGCCCCAATGTCTATAATTTGAACAAAATTAAATCCATATGATGTTGTAATGTTTGCATATGACTTTGATTTAAGTCACCCTGCTAGTTTTTCACTTATACCTATTTTCATGCAAAACATTTAACCCCTTCTGCAGCTCTACCCTCACCTTAGGGGCAATGAAAAAAACTTGAATCTATGCTCATTAAGAAAACTCTTGGATAACATTTGTCTTATATGACCAAATAGATCATAAAATGAAAGTTTTTAAATGTCTTTGACATTATCCCATTTTTCATATTTCTTCATTATCTCCCCTTGGAAAAGGATGCAGCCCTTTATTTGAATAGGCTTTATAACTCCTTTTAAGCTGAGATACATTGTACCAAATGTGGTTTACATTGACCAAATGTTAAAAAAAATTAGAAAATGTTAAAAGTTAATGGAGGTAAACACTCAAACACATAAATAATGCATTGTTGGACACCAAAGACTTCTTTTTATCAGAATTGTGCAATTGAACCTTTGCAATTGAGCCTTTGGATCAGGTGAGCTAAATTCCATATCCATGTTTAGCTATGGACCTTACTGTTAAACTAGGTGTGTTGTATCTCCTTGAAATAATTACACCATATACAAATGTAATTTTAAGGCAGTATGTTTTTAAATGTACTTTTAAAGCTTTAATTCAATTGTCACAGCAGATTTGGTGTAACTTCCAAGAAATATTTTCCGCATTGGCTGGCTCTCTCAGTTGGGCATTCAAGCACTCAAAATGGCTGCATGATTCGATCATTTTTTCTGATGAACACTAGGAATTTTCATTTGTCCTGGTTTTCTTCTTTAGCCCACCATCATGCATGCATCTATATTGAAATTAAATTTAAATGATCATTTAATCAAGCATGTTTTAAAAAAAAACACTTCCAATCATAAAGTCCTTCCTGCATATTTATACATTATCATTTTATAAACTGTATGTTGCCCTACAATGTACATGTACTTATGATGTGCTATTTTTGTTTTAAATGTAATCCTTATACATTCTACTGTTATATGTATATGTTAATTGTTATTTGTAAATGAAAATAAATTTCAAAATATCAATCATCTTGAGAGTATTGCATAAGCCTACTGGCAAGTCACAGTAATCTGGTTCCCAAAGGCTATAATTCTGTCAAAAATCAACAAAGTGTAATGAAATGCAAACTTGATCTGTAACTTATCCAGGTACACTCACATATACTTAAAATCAGCTGAATACACATGTATCTGCGAGTGTTTAGAAAAAAAAAAATCCAGAAAACCAAGTGTCGAAGACTGACAGACAGACTGATGGACAGATAAGGGGGAAACCTGTACTCCCCTCCGGTGTCACTGGTAGGGGATTAAAATAATTACATATGGTGTGCAAATATTTTGAAGACTCTCTAAAACAGTAGTTTATTCATTAATTTAAAAATGAACATCATAAAAATATTGATCTCTAAGTACATGTGTACATGAACATGATGTGTCATATACATGTAGAACATGTAGAACATGCTTACTAAATAAATTAAAAGGAAAACCCCACTTTTCAGAGCATAGCTGTAATAAAACAAAGAAGTGTGGAAAACCAAATGGAACAGACTGACAGTTAGATCGTGAAGGAGAAAACCTATAGTCCCCTCCAGTTTCACCAACAGGGGACTAATAAAATAAGAAGTTTACACCCCCTCAAAAGTTAAAAGACCCAACTTTTTTTTAATTGAGAATTTTTTTTTTTCTAAATAGTGATAATCTTACATTTGGTGATTAAAACAGAATAAAAAATTTAAAACTAGATTCACATAAAATTATGATGAATAAAGTGTAAAGAAAACATTTTTTAAACATTAGAAATTTTAATTGATCCTTTTTAGCAAATATTTTTCATCACTTGCATCATTCTTGCTATGGCAGATTAAAATTTGAAGAAAGTAATTATCAAGAATATTAGATGTAAAGGTTTCAGGGGCTTTTTAATGACAATATTGTGTGTAGGAGGTTTTCACATATATACACTGCGCTGTAGAAAGCCTGTCCATTGCTAGAATTCATTCACTATTCGGTGTCGCCTGCAGATCGGCACTGAGGGATCACTTTACCAAGCATCTGTCTGTGTCTAGCTGTCCGTCTGTCTGTCACACCCTATATCTCAAGAACTGTTAGAGGTATGGATTTGATATTTTGCACATACATTGCTTGGCACTACAGCTTTTGTAGATTATCATGGAGGTACCGACCTTGTGACCTTTGACCTTTAAAATAGTTCATAGTGCTGATATACAACATATATTTGACATTTAAGAGGTAAGTCTATGCTATTTAGCATGTATACTATTTGTCATAAGGCAATATAAAAAAATATCAGCATTACAATCAACTTGACCTTGACATTTGACCTAATTTGCAAAAAATATCTTGGGCAGTTAATTAAACTTATGAATATTGAATTTTGAGAGGCAGGGTTTAGATAATTAGCATTAATATATGTTCATGATCTCATGATTATGTACTTTGAAACCGGCTATGATATTCAGTTACCAGACAAACTTTAATTTTATTCAAATACAGTAACTATGAAAATAAATCGTGATGGGTATTTCACAATGGATCATGTAGACTAAGATTTGCAGTAAACACATGGTAAAGATAGACTGAAATCTCTTTTGAATGCTTATTGGAAACATGTTTAGCTCATGAAAAAGTACTTTGAAATTGTATAATATTCTGATACCACGCAAACTTATACATGTATTTAAAATACCATAAAAATACATCGGGATCAGTATTCAACAATGGATCGTGAAGACTGACAATGGTTGCAGTAAAGACAGACTGAAATCTTTTGGAGGATTGTTGGAAACAATTAATAAAATGATAAATAGTTATTTCTAATAAATTCAAATTTAAATGTGTATTTGACATATCTTTGAGGGTTAAGGAACCATATTTTCTTTGATTGTCAGATTCTATTGCAGTCGTATACTTAATAATCCATGTATGTCTTTTTTTTTTTTTACAGGCAAATGCATGAACTATCAGTTTATCATACTTTATATATAGTAATTAAGTAAAAAGCTGACCATGCACTCATAGATTTGTTTACACCTGATATGAAACTACAAAGCAGGTGACACATGTGTTCCTTGAAACATGTACTCTTGTTTAAATATGTTGTCTACATATACACTTAATGTCTTCAGCATATCCCTCTTATCGGTTAAATTTACAAAATTAACTGACATGTCTGCTTTCAACAGATTTTATCTAAAAATATCTAATGATTTTATTGCAATTATAAATTCATTAAATGTATATGTCCTTTATTTGTCGCACATAGTCTTTTAATTAGGGGTGTATTGTTATACCAGTATATGGAGATACCTTTCAACTGAAGTTGGTTTCCAGTTAAAAGCAATAAATTATCTTAACTCTTTTTTTTATTTGTCAATTTAAAAATTAGAAAAGAATTCAAGTCATCGTAAAGTACACTGTACTTTACAAAATGTAATTTCTTTTTTTCGGTTTTTTTTTTTTTTTTTTTTTTTTTTTTTGTTTTGGTTTTTTTTTGTTTTGAGATATAGAATTTTGTATTAATTATTCTATAAATTATCCCTAATGTAGATTTTCCAAAGGGTTTGGAAAAGTTTTGGAATTCCATGGAATTCCAAACATTTCCATACAAGAGTCTAAAAGTGTTTTTGGAAGTTTTTGGAATTTGAATAACAAATTTGGACTTAGACATTTTGAGGCTTGGAAAGTTGTGGAAATCTATGGAAAAGCTGATAAAATGAGAAATTTAGACATTTTCTGCTCTGGAAAGCTGTGGAAAATAACTTAGAATTTTTTTCTTAAACTGTCGGCTCATAGTACAATTACGTCGGGATCGATGTCGGGCTCGATGAACAATTAATTTAAACAACAGCCCGCCAAAATTCAACAATTCGGCTGGCATGTTGTATTGTTGGACAGAAGGAAAGAGAGTGTCACGAAGAAGGGAACTGCTGTCATCATTAGCTTGGAATGGAATTTGTATTTTGACAAAAGATGCAGACATTTTAAGACCCGGTAGGTACAATGTACAGTATTTTATGTGTCCTTGAAGTTGAATGGATAATTGCTTCTGCTACTGTTCCTCAGTCTGGGCACCACACACATAGAATACCCGACGGTGAAACCATTAGGGCGAGCGCAGTTTCATTTCTGTAATAATTATTGTACAAGTCAGTACAACTCTAAACATCGCTTATCAAAATATGTTTGAACAATGTGTGGATTTCAACCCGAATTTCCTCCCGTTCGTACATGCCTTAGTCCTCGCTATATATGCGAGTGGCACGTTGCCAATTCGCCATCACAGTCCATGTTACATCGTACACACACATCAAAACACTATTAGTGTCTCCAACACGATGCAACATCTAAATTGGCTATTTTTACCATGTTTACAAGGCAGAAGAAACGTGGTAGACTAATAATGCTCTATATGATATCAAGTTGTGCACAGCTTAGTTGCGGTAGACCCAAGCCTCTATTTAGTTTCACAGACTACCACCAACAAAGGCATTCCTTACTTTCACACCTTTAGTGCACAGATAATTTAAATAAAGCTCCCCCCCCCCCCCCCCCGCAGTGATATTATGGAATTCTCTTCCATGCTCAATGTCGGCAGCCTCTTTTTTTTCTTATCATAATGTTTACAGTAATTAATAATTTTCTTCTTAAATTCTTTCCTAATTGTGGGCAACCAAGTTTTGCATTTGGACAAGTCAAAGTTTGAAAGTTAAATGTCTATCCCTGAAATATTAAAAATGACTATACTCTATGACATAAAATTATGCATGCATTATTTACAGGAATGCTCACAAAAAGGACAAGAGCTCAGAGCTGTATGGAAATTTACACAAAGGTCAGATTTTTTAATCATTTTCCTAATCAATAAAATCAAAAGAATTGAAATTATGTGTTTATCAATGTTAGCCAGTTATTATAAACATTAGACATCACTCTTTTAAATATTTTTTTTTTATTTCAATACTGAATTGTTGATGCATGGAAGTTACATGTATTTATAACAGTTTATTTAATATTTCCTTAATTTTTCAAAAAAAAAAAAAAAAATATGTACATGTATTTGCATGTTTGAAGCCAGTAGAACAATTGTATTCTATATATTCACTTAATGTTGTTTGCTTTGTCTATATTTTTGTTACATTGTAAATATGCCAATATGCATTTAAAGCAACTACATATGCATATAAATTTGTCTTCTCCTCTTTTCAAGGGTCAGTTAACAGATTTTGCAAATATGGAGGATAAATATATCAAAGGCAGTCCAAACTCCTGTTCAGGGTGCTTTTAATCAGAAGCTTAAGAGACAAAAGACGACCCATTGACAAGGCAAAACTGAATGTTTTATATGGTATATAAATTAAACATGTATTTACTAATGTGCATGTACTTTTTTTCATACCTTAACTTTATTTGCTGAATGTTTTTAAGGGTACATAGTTTATGTAATTTACAATGTTCTCTCTCATATTCAAGGTTAATTAACTTAGATACAAACATGTCTCTTTATTTATACACTTTAGTTCTAACCTTTTCTTTTTAGCTCACCTGAGCTCAAGGCTCAAGTGAGTTTTCTGATCAGTGTCTGGTGTTACATTTTTGACTTCTCAGAACCATAGGATCAACCAAACTTGTCACAAAACATCCTTGAGTGAAGGGGATTCAGGTTTGGCTTTCATACTTCATTAGGTGTTTCCTTGTGAGAAGGCCTTCCATTGGATATCAACAATTTGTAGATATCATACATCTTTATGGTAATCTTTTCTTTCAGAAATTGAGCAAGAAAAGTTTGAAGTGTGGGAATGATCAACATCAAACTTGCTGAGCTTTTGAAGCCGTCGTACCAAAAGTGAATCCATTCGTGACACCAATTATTTGACCACCCTCTAACAGAACCAGTGAGGAAGTGATTCTAGCCAACACTTCAGAAGTAGGATCTTGGGGCATGTTGGGGGAAAAAATAGCATGTGTTGATTTCATGGGATCTTCCAAATATAGTTGTGTAGTAGATATTTGTGTACTTAATACCTATGTTTGTCACTCTAGTCATTAACTTTGTATGGTAAATGTATATGGACCACTGGAAGATCATTGTAACTGTATACAAATGTTGCAAATATACCCTGTTAAGGCTTTAGTGACCTTTCCCAAGGTCATTTAATGAAGCAAAAGGTCATAATTAATGGGTTTTTTTAAAATCTATTTTGTTTTATTATCAAAAAAATGTCATATGTTTGAGATTAGGTACAAAGGATTTTCTTTAACCAAAAGTCATTTGTTTCTCATGCAGACTGTAATTTACTACATGTACATGCATGTATATTATAATAATTTTCATTAATTAAACCAAGGTGATCATCCAGTAATGATATTTTTCTGTGGATTTTTAACATTGTTTAAATAACCTTTGATGTAAAATACTTTCAGTGATAATACTTTTTAAAATTTGTGCTTACATTATACATAGAAGTGTGTATGTAATATTTGTCCCCAAACACATTGTACAGCAAAAATAATTTTTTTATTTTGAAAATATAGATTTGATTGATGAAAAATTGTGATGTTATCATTTTTGTTGTAATTATTTGGCCCTTAAATTATTTTGATTATTCCAGTTTTTTGTATTTTCCTGGAATTCCTTGGATTTCCTTGGAATTCCATAGATTTCCAAATATCCTGGAATTCCATGGATTTCCAGCTATTTCCGCAAATTTCTATTCTGGCATTGTTCCGCTCTTTTCCAGGCTAGATTTGAAATTCCATACCATTCGGAAAAAGTTCCGTCCCAATACTCTCGAGAATTCCTTGGAATTCCATGGAACACTTTTTCCATGGAATTCCACGGAATTTGTTATGGAATTCCACGGATCTTACGGAAAATCTACATTAGGGTATATTTATAAACAAACCTTATTTCATAATAATTGAAGAATGCAATTATTCCTAACAATTTTACAGTGAAAACTTTTATGATTTTTTATATTCTACAGTAGAACACATAGAACAGAAGTAAAAAAAAAAGTGATATGCATCAATATATATCATAAAACACAAGTCAAAATATTGTCATGATTAATTTTTTTTGCATTTCGATACTCATCCCTACTTTTAACTCAATGAATCTTTACTCTAGACTTTGTAATTTTTGAATGAGAAAGCATTTATGAGATTAGATTCAAAGCAAAGCTAGGGGCTGACAACAAAACAAGAGGTCTATGGGCCACAACACTCACCTGAGTCACTTTGGCCCTGCTGTTCTGCAACAGGTTTTCCCCCAATATACATGTATTTCTATGTAAAATTTTGATTGTATTTTGTGGCCCCATCATAGATATAGTGGCCATTATTTGTTAAAAAAAAAATGAATCTACGCTACCAGAGGATGCTTCCACATTAATATGATTCATCATGGCTTTGTTGTTCTTGAGAAGAATTAAGCGTTTTAAAGATTTACCCAATATAATCCCTATATTGTGCCCCAGAAAGCTTGCACCTAATTTTCATCTTTTCTAGTCCAATATTTCTTGAGAAGAAGATATTTAAAATTTTTTCCTATATATTTCAATGTAAAAGTTTGATCCCCTATTGTGCCCCACCCTACCCCCAGGGGACATGTTTTGAACAATTTACAATCTACACTACTTCAGGAAGCTTTCAACTAAATTTTATCTTTACTAGTCCAGTAGTCTTGAGAAGAAGATTTTTAAAGATTTTTTTCCTATATATTTCAATGTAAAACATCCATTCCCTATTGAGGCCTCACCTTACCCCCAGGGGCCATGATCTGAACAATTCATAATCTACAATTCCTTAAGCAGCATTTATATAAGTTTCAGCTTTTCTGCCACAGTGGTTCTTGAGAAGGAGATATCTAAAGATTTTTCCTATAAGTAAGTAAGTATTGTGGCCCCATCGTGCCCCCACCCCACCCCCCCACCCCCACCCACCCCGGTGGCAAGATTTAAATAATTTAGAATCTACACTACCTCAGGAAGCTTCCATATAAGTTTCAGCTTTTCTGTCTCATTGCTTCTTGAAAAAAGATGTTTCAATGACCCCACCCTATTTGCATTTTCCTGATGATCTTCCCTTGGAAGGGAAATTGGCCCTTCATTTTAACAATTTAGAATCCCCTCTACCCAAGAATGTTTTGTACTTTGCTTAACTTTGGCCAAGTGGTTCTTGAGAAGAAGTTGAAAATGTGAAAAGTTTACAGATGGACGGACAGACATGTGATCAGAAAAGCTCATTTGAGCTTTCATCTCAGGTGAGCTAAAAACTCAAAAAGAGGGAGGGGGTGTAAAGTCATACATGCACCTTGTCCTTTAGCTTTCATGAAAATTGAAAATATATGTATTTAAAAAAATCAATGAGAGAAACTACATGTAAAAATTAGTTAAAATTAAATGGTAGTAATCATAATTGTTAGGTTATTAACAATCAAGATAAATGTTTAATTCAATTACCAATAAAGAGATCCAAGTTTAAAGCCATATTTCCAAAGGTTGATTCTTTGTCATCAAAACTCCTAAAATCCGTCTTAGTCTTAAGTTGCACATCTTCCTTGAATTTTTGACAATCATGATTTTTGTTAATTTTGTCAGTTCAACAGTATTTCCTGACTTTATGGAAGTCTGAAGAAAGTCCTGAGGATTACACTCTACTATTCTTTTTTTTCACACTCCCATGGAATTTTTTCTGATTTGTCATATTTGGTTTCTCACAATCCTTAAATCTTTCTAATGTGGCTATACATGCTTCCTTTAAACTTGGTTGATATCATGTGTTCTATAATCCACCACAAGCTGTAGAACAGACGTCCTTCTTCTTACAGGGTTTGTTGCTAAGAAATGTTCATAACTGAAAAGATAAAGTGATTCCCATCTATTAGAATGTTGATGACCTTTAATGAAATATCAAGATTACAAACAGTATTCAAGCTCAAAAGAGGTGGGATGAGTTAAGCATCCCCTGTCAACTAGTTACACCTGCTGTGAGCTCCTTGCCATAATAGGGTGAATGGATAAATCTGTAGACACTTCAGTATGAAAATAACAGCCTAACAATTTCTGTATGAAAAACATCAGCAAAAACTTGACTTATCTGTAGACTGTATTTGTTAACAAAGTCATTCTAAAAAACACAGAATTTGCAAAATGTTGGCTATACCTGTATCATCAACTTATTTGCCAATAGCTTGCCTCATTTTAGTTATTGTTTGTACTTGGTACACATGCTCTTGCCCTTTGAATCAAATGGGAGACATAAACTCGATATGCAGGTGATAATGCTACATAAGTAAGAGAAGTTAATAATAGAAAAATTAAAGTTACGTGTTTATCATAAAGTTTAATTGTTACCTTGCCATTAATGTCTTTAGTAAAATATTCAAATATGAAACAGATGTATAAGCCTCTGTGGTGTCTTCAATTTTGAGTTCAAAGAGATATACATGTGAATGAAAAAAATTAAATATAATGAATAGTGATCAATCTAAGAAAATCTATAAACAATACAAATCTGTGAAGTGCCTGGCAAAAAACAAGGACCCCCTGGAAATTCCAGAGGTGGGATCAGGTGTCTAGGAGGAGTAAGCATCCTCTGTTAACCGGTCACACCTGAATAAGTTAATGTAGGAATAAAAATGAATAATTACTATCCTTTGATAAAGCATCATCAGTATATCATTATATATAATATATCTAGTAATGTACCGTTAGTATGTATAGGACAGAACAAGGACCCCCTGGAAATTCCAGAGGTGGGATCAGGTGTCTAGGAGGAGTAAGCATCCTCTGTTAACCGGTCACACCTGAATAAGTTAATGTAGGAATAAAAATGAATAATTACTATCCTTTGATAAAGCATCATCAGTATATCATTATATATAATATATCTAGTAATGTACCATTAGTATGTATAGGACAGGAAATACAAAATATAGTTATTTATAAAACAGTGTATTTTCAACTTCAGTTCATCATATTAAAAAAAATCCTATATTTCCAAACATTGAGGAGGACTGGTGGCTTTCATTTGTTTCATTGTATTTAATCATGTAAATAATGTACCTGACCACAAACATATGGCATGTGGCTTACATGTAATCGTGCTATATTACGCATGCATCAAAATTTAAGTCACACGGAGTTAATGCAAAGAAATTTGATGCACAGTAAACTAATTTGAATTAACTTATTTGCATTAAATTCTCCATGTGAATGTGGTTCAAATTTAATTTGTATTAACTTACGTTCAATTCGAATTAAACCTTCCTTGTGAAGACGACATTAAATGTACATATCTCATACTGTACACCTCAACAAAGTTTCACAACCAGTTAATACATATTGTTTTCAGCTGTCAAAATCACATTCGCATGATTAAAATGAAAGTGAATGTTAAGTTGAATACCGATCCCGATTAGAATAAAGACAATTAAAGGACTGTTAAGGACCCTCTATACACTAAATCAAAAATGTTTTTAGTCCAAGATAAATAAATTGAATACTTTATTTGCATGTGTTTTCTCACTTAAATAAACAATGTGTAGAGATTTCTGTTCATCAATACTTTAATGTCTTTGAATATTTTTCTTAGGGTGTAAATATGCCATGTACATGTACCCTATGCTGAACATGTTGAAATTCAAGAAAGTAAAGTAGATCTGATTAGCTCATTATGTATACCTCTATATAATATGATTTTCTTATTCAATTGTTCAGAATGCTTGCATTAACTAAAATTCAGTAACAGATTGCTAGGATTTCAATAGATTTATTAAATTTGATTTAGACCTCAGGGCGAATTAGTCTCTATCTCCATAAAATACCATAAAATCAGAACTCTTTGGTGTACAGTATATTCAAGTGGAATATAATTTAAAATTGACATAGAGTGTAATTGATTTGTACGTGAAAACTGAAATTAAAATAATCATGGAGGGTAAAAAATTGGGAGGGGGTTACAATCTTTCAGATTTCTTCTAATTCCATCAAAAATATATACAGAGAGCTTAATTTATGCAATCTAAGTACTACACAGATGATAATATTTCTTGTTCATTTGAAATTACATATAATATTCTTGGCACACAGACTTGTTCACTATCAACAACATGTTTACCTTTTAAATGAAATTTTAATAATCTGGTTAAAGTGGTAACAGATACTCTTTATTAACAAACTTCTCTTAACATAATTGATCACTCAGGTTTACAGGGTCTGCCAGTCAATCGATATCAAACATTAATTAAGTGCAAGTCTCTGTAAGAATCAGGCAAAGTATGTTTGAAAATGAATCATGAGGGTTCTCAGAATTTGATGATTTTCCACACATAGATTTCTCTTGTGCTATGAACCATGTATGCAAAGTGAAAAAAAGTTTTGGGTCATGGTTACTATGGAAACATGACAAAAAGAAATTTCCCTAGCAACCAGTCAATTTTCCATGTGAATGGACAAAAAAATCACTAATCTTTAGGGCATAAAATTGATTGAGAATATTTAAGAAGTTCTTATTATTCATTCTTATCGTAAAGATAAACATTTGAAGTGTTTTCACAATGCATTTCATTGAAATTTTTTTTGAGATATATCTGTACTAGACATGGGTAGATAGGCATGTTTTGTGTTTTTTGCTGATTCAGCATTTTTGTTGATTTTGTTACTTTTCAAGGCCTTATAACTCAAACTTCTGGCGTAATACAGGAGTTACAAATATTTCGCATAAAAGCAGAGGAATGTCTCTTTTGGACTTTTAATTCAAAAAGGTGTGTTTTTTGAAAATTCCTATCCGTTGCCTAGCAACAAAAATGGATGTTTTGATAAATAAAACTGGAAAATCGCACAATGTTAAAATCATTAATCTAATAAATTGTTATCTGAGAGTACAAAAACACAGTTTGAAATCAGAATATATAAATGAGACATCTTTGCAAACCAAGAAATATTGTAAAGATACTTATCCCCATGGCAACAGCAAATTCTCCATAGCAACAAAGCAAATAAAGTCACTTTTGGCACATATTTATGAACAATTGTAGAATATTAATCCACAGTTTGGTAGCATATTGCGATTAATCAAATTTGTTTTTGTAGTAGATGTCTTAGCAATGTACACTTTTATAATTTTAACCCATTTTTATACTTTTAACCCATGGCAACAACATTTAAGCACATATTATGGAGAGTTAAGAGCAATTTTCTGTAACCACTTGAACATTTTTTGGCACGCATGGTCACCGGTTATCATGAAACTTTACTCATTATAATAGTAACAATTGTAATAGTTTGACAACAGGATTTTAAATTAATCAAAGTTTGGTTGCTATGTACCTTGGTTGTCATGGTAACAGACAAGATGATTTCAACAATATTTAGATTTTCGGCTACTTTGAATCTTTATTGGCCCTTCACAAGCACTTAGAAAACAAAATTGGCCATTAACTTATATAAAAAAAACCCCAATAAACCTTGTTGCCATTTATTATGTAAAGAAAGTTTTTGGAATATATCTCTATATAGGTGGTAACCATAGCTACACTCAGCATACACTTTACATGCAAAAAACGATCAGTATTTTCCTATTATGGGAGTTACATGACTTAACTTAATCGCCAATGATAGAGAAACAATAAAAATAGTTTACCTTATGAAAAGATGCTTTACCAATATAATTCTAATAATTAAAAATCGGCTGCCATGATAACACATCATTTGCGCCATAGTTATAACCCAGCAAACAAAGATTGGGGTATAAAGGAATCACTTTGTCTGTCTGTCTGTCTCTGTATTCTTTGTCTGTGCAATCATCATGGGGTCATAACTTTTTAATGGAGAAAGATTAAAAGTTCGTTCTTGATAAAACAATTGTTTATAATCTTAGGTTGAATTTTGACTTTAACGTTTAACACAAGGTCATTTCAGCTAGTTCAAGGTCGTTGGCAGTAAATAGTGTAAAATTCGTCTCTGGTCTATAACTTTCTTATGGAGGAACATCGGATATTGATACTTCATTTAGAAATTGTTTAAGACATATAGTTGTATCATGTTCTTCATTCAATGTCAGATGTTAAAGTTCAAGGTCCTTTATAGAAAAATGTATAATTCGTGTCCTGACCACATTTCGTTATGGAGAAATATTGTAAGCTCATGCTTGACAAAAAGATTTATGCCCCATTGGTATGTTCAAACCTTAACCCAAGGTCATTCCAGCAAGATCAAGGTCACTACGAGAAAAAGATTAAAATGTGTGTCCAGGCCACATAACTTTGTAATGGATAACCATTTAGAAGTTATTTTTGACATAGATTGCATGTGAACAAAGAGAGTGCCATGGTCTTGACCCATGATAATTCCAGCAAGTGAAGATCACTAGCAGAAAAAAGTGTTAAATTTGTGCCTGGTCTAATTTTCTAATGGAAATGTATTGGATGTTCATACTTCATAGAAAAATTGATTATGACCTTAAAGTATGTCATGATTTTCACGTAAAGTTATTATACCCCACGCAACAAGTTGCGTGAGGTATAATGTTTTTGACCCGTCCGTCAGTCAATCAGTGTATCAGTCAGTCAGTCAGTCCGTCAGTCCTGTTTTTTTTTTTTTTTTGGTCAGCGCAACTCCCCAGAAACCGCTTCACAGAATTTCGTCAAACTTTGTAGATATCTAGGACACAATGTGTAGATGTGCATATTACCAGGAAATTCCGATTCCTTTATTTTTTCTGGGAATTTCTGCACTTTTCAACTTAGATTTTTGGCCATATCTTGAATGTAGAGATGAACAGTTTGTCAGCGCAACTCCTCTTAAACCACTGCACCGAATTTGATAAAACTTTGCAGATATTTAGTACACAGT